CTAGGGTTCACTTATCAGATGTTCTAACTTCTGATTCGTTTGCTTGTGGACAACAAGGACTATATCCAGAGTATCGAATCCGAATTGCCATGCGTCAGGTACAACTGTTTAACTGCTAAATTAAATTGGGTTTAGGTGGAAGGCGGCAGGAACAGGATGTGGCCGATCTCAACGTCATGGATTAGTTTAGATTTAAGAAATCTACTCTCTCTCTTAAGTCTTAGCTAATGTTGTTTGGTTTGACAGATAATTAAAAAAAGTAAAGGGGAAAATTCTTCAGGCTGGTTGCGGTATGAATCTGAGCCAGATACAAACTTTGTATGCAGTCCTGTTTTGCATCTGTTTGTTTGTAATTATGATTTACATTTTTATCTGATACACAATTTGTACTTTGTGTATATGCACTTGCTGTTAGTATATTTTACATTTCAATGACTTTATAGACTGATGTAAATTTGTACCATCTTTCTTTTACATCAATTCTCTCTCATATAAAATAGGGAGATCATATCATCTTACTTCCTCATTCTCGAGTAAATAATCACCCTCCTACCTCCGTTCCATTTTGTGGGACAATGCCATTTTACTTTTCATGAACAAATAAGACAAGATCAAAATATATTCAACCTATTAGCACTCCCATTCATTTGCAACAGTATAAATGTAATTTACAGTTTTCACTGCAATCAAATGCAGCTTAAGCAATTATATGAACTTATTAAGAGCTATTTTTTATTGGATAAATTTCCCAAAGGCTGAGTTTGGAAGAAGTATAAATGCAAATATGTAGAGTGCAAAACCTTATATTTTTTATTATTTTGTATGTATTTTCGCTGTACATATTTGCATTTGTATTGCTTCCAAACTGAGCCTAAAACTTCTCTTCAACCTTTTGTCTTCTATTTTCTATCAAAACAAATATAATTTGGGAATCTCACAAAAGAAATATTATTGCTATTAGTTTGACTATGATACATAAAAGCTAGTAACATCATCTTGTATCTTTAAAGTGGTAACCGCCGGGGGTTTGATTGGACAAAGCTCAACTCTTTCTAGAGCATAGATTTTTCTTTATTTATTACAACTTGACTAATTTGTTTGGCTGTTACTTGCAAAATAGTATTAGAATTGGTAGCCGTTACTTACAACTCCATTCTTTCTTTGCGTTAGTTATCGAAGTTTTGTATTGGCGCCAGACCGCTCAGGTTTGTTTGACTTCAGTCTTTATCTTTCGTATCAAATTATGGAGGAAAGTAGGAAACGCTCCAAAATGGCGATTTCATGTCTCTTTGTCTAATAGCAAGCACTCTTATCAGTTGCCAAAATGGAGTAGCTTACCTGCAAAATCGGTCATGATCGCCGTCGCTGAGTCTCGGTCTCAACCCGATCGCTTAGGTGGTCCAAAGTTCAAAGTTCAAACTATTTGTAAGCCAACGAAAAAAAGAGGGTAACCCTGAAGTTTTGTATCATTGTAAAATCCTCCCTTGAAGTTTGGTAATTGCAATCATCTTTATTGAACTTTGGGACACAATTACAAGTAAGGTGGCGTTTGATAACCGTTTTCAGAAACGCTGCTTTTTAGATGCCAATCTCGTTTGGGTTGCCCTCTTATTAGTAGGCCAGAAACTCAAATTCAGATCTTAATTTATAAGAGGCGGATCGGGTTCTTAATGCGGTAAGATGCGATTTAGACCTGTGCGAAGGACATAAATGTCCTCATAAAAATTTAAAAGTGACCTGTTTTGTCCTTCATATAAAGCAAAAAATACGTCATTCAACTCCTCACTAGAACAAGAACGAAAGCTCCACCACCGTCGAGTTCTCTCACAGGTATGTTTCGATTTAAAGGTGGCTTCAATTTTTTCACGATTTCTTCCACGAGTTTAATCCATTGCTACTGATTTTTGTTTCTCTCGTTTCTCGGTATCCAGTATTCTCGACTCGACTTCGATTTTCTCCATTCTCTCTCGATTTTCTCCAGTCTCTAGCAGGTATGTCTCTATTGTCCTTTATTGTCGTTGTTTCTTGTTCTATTTCATCCAACATACTTGTAGTAGTTAGGGGTGTAAACGGTATTCAAAAATCCGATTTTGAATTCGATATTCAATATAATCGAGTCGAATTCGGATAATTTGAATATCTAATTGGTTGAATTCGGATATGACTTGATTCAATTTGATAAATATCTGAATTCAACCGATTATTTAATTCTTATATATAATATATAAAAATGTTTTATATAATTTATATATATAATAAGGGAAAATCTATGATGCGGAAAAGATATGGTATGGAAAGAGTTTTGACCAATCAAAACCCACCCAATGAATTTTGATAAATAACACCTGATTGGCTGTCATTTCTGATTCCAATTAACTGGTCAGAAGTTTTTCAGATATTATATCTTTTCCATATCAGAGTCGAACCCATATAATAATTAAATTATATAAATAATTTATAATTTATATACTTTATATCAATAAAATATTTATTAATTATCTAAAATAATTAATTAATCGAATTCAGATTGAATCGAATATTCAGATATTTAATCGGATTCGAATTCAAATATTAATTTTCAACATCCATCGGATATCAAATCAAATTCGAATATCGAATTGTCTAATCGAATTCGAATACATATATTGCCTGATCCGATTTGAATTCGATCCTAATAGTTCACCTTGCTTAAACTGGTTCCTGGACAAGTAGAGTAAGTAGTTCACCACTTCACCTTCGAAGCTTTGATGCCAAAGGAATTAATGATTAGAATCCTAGTAGTGGTTTAAAGGGGTTGTTGGAGAAAGACCTGAAATGGAAAATACCTTCTCTTCTCTCTCATTAAGCAAGTTTTCCAGAATCAGAAGCAGAAGCAGAGCGGAGGAAGAATCGAATAAACTAAAGACATCCTATCAGGTCTAGGATTTTAGACGAAAATAAGACGACGGTGTTTTCTTTTTTCTTTGAAAGGATATTCTTAAATTTTGCAAATAAGATAACTATGCAATAGCAATTTTTAGTGTTGAGTGCTTTCTTTGCTCACTCCACTTTGTAATAATCTTAGCTCTTGATCCGCTTAAAGTTGGTGATCAAAGTCAATAGATGACCAATTTGTTTGATAATAGAATTTCAGTTTCCCTCCCTAGACCCTGATATATATTCCACATAGAAATTAGTATATTGGAGTTCGGATTATTTGAGGGCTGTTTAACCAATAATATTTTATTGTTTCAGCCATGTGCATTATTGGTTAAATTTGGGGCATTATTATTGGTTAAACACCCCTTAACAAAGCCACCTAGTGCAATTTATATGGATTTCGATTTAATCATACTTCTGTGGGGTGCTATTGATATTGGGATCCATCTATGATGTTATTTCTTTTTTAATTCGATTAATATCATGGATTCTAGTGACAATATGTGGTCTTAATCAAATCATTGTTATTAGGAACAGTCCAAGTGAGTTTGGATCATGACATTAATGCATACATAGAATAACATGATAAATGCAGATAATTTCAAGTTATCTATGATTTCTTATTGTTTTGAGATTTTTCCTCTTGTGATAACTCTAAATTCTTTGAGATTGGATTTTCTACTTTGACATGGGTTATACTTTATCATTTATAGGGGGTTAGGAATGGTTATTGGAGATAAATTTGATAAAACCACTTGGAAGGACCCAGCCTTTCAAAAACTATTGTTAGACCTATGCATTGATGAAGTGTCCACCCATGGGAGACAAAGTGGTTCATTGAAGAAAGAATCTTAGGCACAGATTCAGACAAAGTTAATGGAAAATATCCAAAAGAATTTTTTATAGAAACAACTAAAGAATGGGTTCAATTATTTGAAGAGAAAATATCAACTATGGGTGACACTTATCAATAGGATTGGAAATGGGTACTATCATTTGATTTTTAGTAATTTATTTTTTAAATTTTCAATTTTGTATACACTTTATTTGAAGTAATTATTAATTATCTAATTTTTATTAATTATTAAATATTTTAATATTATTTTGAATTGAATAAATTAGTTTTTTATCAGTCATTAATGATTTTAATATTTTTTATTAGTGATTAACTATTTTTATTAATTTTACTTGTGTTATTTATTAATTATTAATTATTTTTGTTAATTAGTAATTTTAATTATTTTATTAAATTTTAAAAAATATTTTATTTTTTTATTTATGTAAATTATGAATTATGAATTATTTGTATTAATTATTAGTTATTTTTCTTTTTATTAAGTATTAATTATTTTAATATTTTAATTATTCATTAATTATTTTAATATTTTTGTTAGTCATTAATTTTACTTGTGTTATTTATTAATTATTAATTAGTAATTTTTATTTATTATATTAAATTTTAGAAATTATTTTTAGTTTTTATTTTTGTAAATTATGAATTATGAATTATTTTTATTAATTATTAGTTATTAATTATTTTAATATTATTTTTAATAATTTTAATTATGATATTTGTTAATTTATTATTTTTTTATTCATATTATTTCAACATTATTTTGAAGTTGATAACAATTTTTTATGAGATGGTGCAAATTAAACAAAAAATTACCAAATAGTATGCTGTGGGAGTAAAATTAGTGAATTTCAGATGTTGTAGGATTGATAAAAAACAAACAAACTTATTGATTTAGAACCTCTAAAAGTAGAAAAGTACCTATGCTTCTTTTTAGATTTTAGAGCGTGAGACAGTATAAAGTTATACCCAGCCCAAAGCCTGAGCTCGAGACAATGTAAAGTTGGATTCAAAGCCCAGCCCGTGAACAAGCCTACCTTTGAGTGATTGATATAAAAGGCAAATTTGAAAAATAAGTTAATTTCAAAAAAGAGGTTGAAATGGTTTGGGTTAGTGATTCATATGTGATAAAAACTTAAAAAATAAAAAGAGGGTATAGTTATAATTATGTCAAAAAATTGAAAGGAGGTGATTACAATTACCAAAGTTTTGAGGATGCTTCAGCAAAAATATACTAAAATTTGACCAAAACCATTTTTGGCAAGTTCAACTTCAATTGTCTCCAAATATCCACATACCCCATCTTGGTCTTGGTGATTTGGTGAGCGTCTTAACTACCAAATAGCCAACGTGCGCTTGAACGCTTGTAAATCTCCACGTGGCTAATTTACTGTAATTTAATTTTCTAAATCAAGCATATTTCTCGACGGTCCACGTGGGAAGTGACGCGCTATCAGAGAGAGAGAGAGAGAGAGGTTAGATAGTTGAGCCGCAAGCGCAAAACACACAAACGAAGGTTACGCAACGGCAAGCAAAACATATGGGTTTGTCTGGCCGGCAAGCATCCGCTTGTATAGGAGAGGAAAGCAACTCTTAACCCTAGTTAAAATTCTCCCGATTTCTGAGGAGGGCCTCGAATTCGAAGTCGGAAAACATTGACACCCTGAAATAGATTGTCGAATCGATGTTATTATTACCTATTTCTCTTAACGATGTTTGTGTTTCGTCCCATCTAGTAGATTCTCTGCGATTCAGGCACCCCATTTTTGGTTTTTACTCTTTCTCTCTCTATCCTGTGCTCCGTCTCCTTCCTACTAGATTGGGATAGAGAGAGATGTATTATTATTGCTCTTTTGAAGCGCAAGGCAGAATCTCTTTTGTTGGTCTCTAACTCTCGTTTGACTGGATTGCCCAAGCCAATGCAATGAATGCGGATTCGTTGTTGAAGAAATTGAATCGACTATAACCAATAGCAGTTCTTTTTTTCTTTGTTCTTTTACCTTTCATCTTTGAACGAGCGAGCGATTGAGACGTGATTTTTGAAGCCAATTTTTGGAATGAGAAAAACGAAGGATTGGTACATCTCTTTATAGATACTCGGTTTTGTTGGATTCTCTTATCTTATTTCAGTTGAAGAAACGAATGGCCGTCGCCGTTGCTTCTTATAGGCGAGCGGTATTGTTGGGGACGAATTCATGGATTTACTTAACTAAGTTGAGAGGCATTGAAGGATCAAATACGGCAAATGCCGTAGACCGGTTCTTGCTTGGTGCTCATTCGTTTAGGATGCCTGCTTCTTTGGCCTTTAATTCATCATCATTTAACAGGTTCGATTGCAGGCTGATATCTCAGCTTCAGATGATGAAATCAAATGGCAAGCGTGCATTTCTTGTCGATACATTGGCTTTGGTAATTAATCTTCAATGTATATAACGAGTCAATGCTTAAAATAAATAGGTTTTTATTGCTTAGCTTACTGTATGAAATGATGAGAAGGTTTGCATCTGACGTTCACGTTCAGGTTAGGAGATTAGAAGCACAAGGCGTGCCTTCTAATCAAGCCGAAGCGATAACAACTGCTATCACTGAGGTTTTGAATGACAGCTTGGAAAATGTTTCTCAATCCTTTGTTTTGAAAGGAGAGATGCAGAAAGTAAGGATTTTCGTTTTTTCTCCATTTGATCCTTTATGTTGTTTCTCTCATTGAGATAATCTTCTGCTTTGTATTTTGATTTTTGGGGCCATTGATCATTTATTTTTCCATATAAGGACAATACTTTCTTCTCTGATTTTGAATAAACAGTTTTTTTAAGGGTGTGCGTTTGTGCAATATTTAATGCAACCAACTTCCTATTCTATTACTTCTAACCTATTAATTATGTGTTTTTCTAGATCGAAATGATACAAGAAGCTAACTTGTCAAAATTCAAATCCCAGGTGCAAAATTCACAGGTACTAATTGAATCCTGCATTTTCTTTCTACAAATATGGAATCTTCAATATTGTTTTAGTTTTCCATGTTTGCATCTTTCCAATGAGTTGGACCTGGTGGAGTTCCATTGAGAAAAAAATGATGAAAAGGTTATGATTACAAAGGATGCATCATGTCAAAACACCCCAAGTACTTGGGTTCGAGTCTGAGAGCCGCCAGATGTGATCCAATCCAATAAAAGAATAGTAAAATATTTCAAATTATAGGAGAGAAGAAGAAGAAGAAGAAGAAGAAGAAGAGAACAACAACAACAAGAAGAAAAGGATGGAGAAGAAGGGAGTAAGAAGGAGGAGTTTGATGATCTCCTCTCACCCCTCATTAATTCTTCTATTAATCTTCATTAATTGGGTTAATTACAAGTCTGCCCTTAAGTGGGCAACCAACTAAGCAAGAACTTTAAAAGAACTTATAAAAGAGATTAACAGGCCCATAAACCCATTAATATACGAAACAAATAACATACTACTTAAACATAAAAACAAATACTAAGGCCCATTCGGCCTAGTCTCTCTACACTCCCCCTCAAGCTGAGCATAGATGTCAATCATGCCCAGCTTGCTTATATAGTGTGTCAGCTTCCCTTATGGAACACCTTTGGTTAAAACATCAACCAATTGCTCTTTTGAAGAGATAAATTGCAAGCAAACTTCCCCTGAAGCAACTCTCTCCAGTATAAAATGTTTATCAACCTCTATGTGCTTAGTTCTGTTATGTTGAAGAGGATTATGTGCAATGTTGATAGCTGTCTGGTTGTCATAGTAGAACATCATTGGCTTTTCATAGTCAATACCCAACTCTTCCAAAGTGATATCAACCACAGTAATTATGACATTCCATGTGCCATTACCTTGTACTCTAGTTCAACTGAGGATTTTTTTTTTTTTTGATGAATAAGTTCAACTGAGGATTTGGCTACTACATACTGCTTCTTACTCCTCCATGAGACATTGTTCCCTGCCATCAAAGCACAATATTTTGAGGTGGATCTATTATCATCAATACCTTTCCCTGGCCTTTCAAGAAACACAAAACTCTTTCTGCAACAACCAAATGTGTATCTCTGGAGAATGCATAAACTGACTAATAACACTCACTACATAGAAAATATCTGGCCGAGTCATGCAGAGATATAACAACTTCCCTAGCAGTCTCTGAAACACTCCCCTATTAGACAACAAATCACTATCAGTAGCAGAGAGCTTATGATTGAGGTCTATAGGGGTGGAAGTCAATTTAGCACCAAGTTTACCAGTTTCTGCAAAGAGGTCAAGAACATACTTGTGTTGAGAAATGAAGATACCATCCTTAGATCTAGCAATTTCAATTCCCAAGAATATCTGAGATCCCCCAATTCCTTGATCTCAAATTTAGAGTTAAGAAATCTTTTGAGTTTAATCACTTCTTGGGTGTTATTACCTGTAACCACAATGTCACCAACACAAACAATCAGAAAAGTCACCAAGGAGTTACTTCTTTTTAGAAACAAAGTATGGTTAGATTGGGTTTGTGTGTAACCAAAGGAGACAAAGGCAGCTCTCAATCTCTCAAACCATGCTCGAGGAGATTGTTTTAGACCATAAATGGATTTCTGCAGTTTATACACCTTCCCTTGCATTTCCTGTCCATACACCTCTGGAGGCAAAGACATATAGACCTCTTCATGTAGGTCTCCATTCAAGAAGGCATTTTTAACATCAAACTGCCCCTGGAGGCAAAGACATATAGACCTCTTCATGTAGGTCTCCATTCAAGAAGGCATTTTTAACATCAAACTAGTGGAGGGGCCAATCAAAAGTAGCAGCTAAAGACAATAAAATTTGAACTGAAGTCATCTTAGCTACAGGAGCAAAAGTCTCAGGGTAATCAATACCATACATCTGAGTGTAGCCTTTAGCAATCAATTTAACCTTAAATCTCTTAATAGCGCCATCGGAATGATACTTAATAGTGAGCATCCATTTAATTATAAAAAAAAAGTGAACACCCATTTACAACTCACTGGTTCCTTCCCTTCAGGCAAATCCACAATATCCCAAGTATGGTTCTTATGCAAAGTATCTAGTTCAATCATTATACCATCCCTCCGTTCAGGTTTAGATAGGGCTTCTAGTACAGACTTGGGAATCACATGGGTAGAAACACAGGCAAGAAAAGAGTAATAGGTAGGGGATAAAAGGCTATAGGATATGTGTTTGGAGATACAATGTGCTGTACACTTCCACTTGCCTTTGTGAAGGGCAATAGGAAGGTCAAGGTCTAGGAAGATAGTAGAAGGGTTAGATGAAGGTTGACCTGTTACCTCAAAAGTGAGAGGTGCTAGAGGCTCTATTGAAGGAGTGGAAATAGTAGAAATCACTGATTGCAGATTTAGTCGAATTTCTTGTGAAGGGAAAGAGGAGGAAGATGAAGATTTCAGCAGTAGAGAAGAAATGAGAAGGAAAAAAGAGTAGGAAGTCAACCAGGATTCTTAGATTAACCCTAGCCGCCAACCCCTCATTATATTTATACTTAACTTAAAGGATGAGATATTACAAGGATGCCCTTTGTAGGGCGGCTACTAATGTAGCTGAACAATCACAACTTAAAAACATAAACTAATGGGCCTAAAGCCCAATAACTTCCTAGCTAAACAACTTAAAATAAGAATAAAAACAACTAGTCCCAACTCAACACTCTCCCTCAAGTTGGGAGTAAATGTCACACATTCCCAACTTGCGTAGATCCTGCTCCAGTTTGTTCTTTGCAACACCTTTTGTGAGAACATCAGTGAACTGCAGATCATAAGCAATGTATGGAAGACAAACTTCTCCAGAAATCACTCTTTCTCTGATAAAATGTCTATCCACTTCAATGTGCTTAGTTCGGTCATGCT